AACCGTGGCATTGACGATTTTCAGTGGCATCACAGTCTGTCAGGGGACCCCAAGCTCTAAGCTAGTCAAACGGGTTCCAGCGTGCACGTTCAGGGCTCCCTTTCTGGTGGTTTCAATCCTCACCTTTTTGCGCCGACTTAGAGAGTTTTCTCGAAATGGGGTGAGTGATGTTTCAGCGGACAATATTCAACACCATTTTTTCAGTTGAATTACAGATTGGTTGCCAGTCGCGTGAGTTTCCTTTGGTGATCTTGAGCTCTGCCTTCCAAGCTCCAAGTAGGTGGGGGAGTGGAATGAATGCGAAGTCAGTGACTCCAGCGTCTCAGGCCGGCGTGCTGGTGTCCGGGAGTTTCTTCGGCATGTTCATGCTCAGCGCTCTGCCAGCGCTCCTGTCAAATGCCGTGGAGGACTTCGGGCGAATCGAGCCCAGTCTCGATGAGACCACAATCAAAGCCCGAAGCGAAGGTTAGCAGGGGACAGTCCAAACTATAAATGCGGGCGGCCGCCTTTCCTTTATTTGTTTACATGGATTTGAAAGGAGCACCTTCATACCAGGTGTTGATTGTGACTCAACTGCCTCTTTTGCAGGTAGACAGGCAAAACCAACATGTACGGTGGAAAGCAATCGGTACATATATGCTGGTTATAGCGGGAACTGGATCCCCTGCCAAGGGTAGTAGGAACTAGGTGAGGTTCCATTGGTATCTCTGGTCAGTTCCCCTTTTACAATTCCCAAATATTCCCAAAGTCAATCCCCCCCCAGCGATGGATTGGCGAAAAGCTCTGAAAACAATCGGATGACTGGGCCCAGACCTACACAAAGTACAGTTTGTTTTTTCTCCCTCCGCAGACTGTGTGAAAGGCAAGCCAGAGCGAAACCACCCCTATTGGAGGTTGCCCTTTTTGAGACAGGCCCGTTTTTGTGCATTCGTCAGACTTTTCGGTACCGTTGTTTGCATGTTTGCTTCCTGTCGTGGGTTCCCCAACAAAATATTGCCTTGTTGTCTACCAAGCTTAGGCACCTATTGACAGCCCTTGCAGAGAGTGCCGTCAACGGGAAACAAACGCGAAGACCATCAATTTTGAGTGTGTTCCTATGTTTGTGTATATTGCATAGGTCCGTCTTAAGATAGAAATACCCCAAATGAAAGGGGAAGGAGATACGTGGCTTCAGATCGCTTGTTTTCCAGAACGCTTTTGGTTCCAGAACGCTAATGTATTCTTACACAACGCTACGATTTCAGAACGCTAGTTTTTGTATGATGCAGTTTGAGCCGATCCGCTTATTGTTTTTTTTTGTTTTGTTTTGTTTTCAGGTATACTGCAAAATGCAAGTTGCAAGTTGTTTGGGTAGCATGTGATCTGTTTGAAGTAATGAGTTCCCTGAGATGTTTTCAGAGGGATGGTGGCAGATAGCATCGCCGCAAGGATAGCTGTCACAGGTTGACGTGCTTGGGCCGGAAGTGCTCCAGCCGACGAAAAAGCGTCGGAAGGCGTGGGTGCCCCACGGTCGATGGATTTGAGTCTGGCAGCGGCTGACGCAGAGGCCATGAGGCCATGCCGATTTGTTGACCAGAGCTCTGAAGTCCTGCGATGGAGACTCACGGTCTGACGCCAGCTGTGAAGAAGCTGCTGTGCCAGTTGACCCAGATGTGGAGCGAGAGCTGTGAGATATTGATGCCATGAGCTTTTCTGGCAAGAAGCTCGTGCTGACTCGGTCTCTTGTCCATCTGGACGTTTGGACTTTGTGGTTTCATTTGGGGACATGCAATTTCGGCAGGGACCCTTCTTTGCAAGTTGTTCAGCTCGTAGTTTCAAAGGAAACTTGTTTGTTGGCTGCACGTTCTGGACCGCAAGAAATGCAGACCCTTCACGCAACCTGTTTGGATGAGCTACGCAATTGCATTGCTGGAGCTGCGAGCAATATGCAATTTGCATCTTTCACGATGAAATAAATGCAAGTTGATGTTGGCAAACAAGCAAACAATGACTTCCCTTCTCTGGTTGCTTCAATGTCATAACATACAGACCAGGCAACTGCAACTCCATCACGCGGCGCCAGGAGTGAGGGAAAACCAAAGCCAACAAATCACTGTAGAGACAACTTAAAATGGGTATGTACATGCGTGCGTGATTGGGTGGGCGAGTGAGTGGGTGGGTGTCTGTGTGTGGGGGCGTTAGTAGTTGCTAGCATATTGCTCCCCCGATCACAACCTGTACTTTTAGATGTAGATGACCCTGAAAAGTACCCTGTGCCGCCTTTGACTCATTGACAATTCCTCTTTGAACTTCGTTGGTATTTCAAGGTTCCTATGGGCCATAGTCAGGCATATGTTTTGGCTTGGCAAACCCCGAGGTGCCCGGCTACTCAAAGGGCACTTCTCGCCCCTTGTCAGGTCCCTAACTTGCCATTCAGTAGTGGTTGGTCGAACCTTTCAACTCTAGCTTCTTTGGACAATATGTATGCTCCCAGTACTCAACAAATGGGTATGGCTCACAATTCAACTACCAGGGGGCCGCAGATTATAGTCCTTGTTTCCATTTACCAGGGTACCACACCCAAATAGTTGGTCTATAGTTTTGCAGAGGCAACTCAATCACTAGGGATCAGGGTTCCACTTTGTGACTACCCCAACATAGACTTATCCGGTGTCCCTTTGCGGGACATCAACCAAGCCTGGGTTTAAGTCTATCTTCTTGACTGCCATTGGGTTGGATCTTTAGACTTTAGCTTTTGGGGAAATCAAGGCGTTTTCCACGAAGCCCCCAAAAAGTTAAACTTTTCGCGGGGGGGTCAACAGCAACCAAGGTAGTCAAAAAGTAGAACCCTGCCATGGTCCCAGGAGACTTTCCCCACGCCACCGGAGATCTCCACCACGTTGCTCTTCAACTCTGCGATTCTGCTGCAGGTCTTCTTTACCCCTCTCTCCCAGATCGCGGCTCGGAAGCGGTGGCAAAGCCTGATGCTTCTTCTTCTTCTTCTTTTGGTTGTGGCAGCCTTTGTTGGTTTGCTTGTGTACATTTGTGTTGAGTTGTTCGTTGTGAAGCCACCCGGCCCTTTTGTGCTGTGGCAGTGACCCCTCTGAAAAGGTTTGCTTTACCGTGGGGGGGGGCAATGCGTGTTGCCTGGTTTCATACACTCCAGCTCCATCGTTTGACTCTCTCTCAATTCCCTCAATTTTTCTTTCGACCGTGGCAGTGTGATGGGACACTACGCGAAATTCGAAAATCCTCAAAGCAAATTCGGCGACTGTGGAGTAATTCATATTATATATATGTAGCAGAATCATCAAGGGGCTCGTCGCGGTGTTTCCCGCTAAGCAAAATACAAAACCAGTGAAGGACCGCTCCACAATTGACATGCCCGATCAAGCTCAGCCAACCTTTGGGACACGGGAACTGCCATTTGACCCACAACACTCGCAAGGATATGTTCCGCCCATTTCCCAGGGGAAAACGGCTTCCGCTAGTTCATGTTTTTGTTCCGCTCAATATCACAATCGATCAACACAAATGCCCGGAGCCCCAGAAAGTGACCAAATGAAAGACCTAGTGTGAGACCAGCGGTTGGCTCAAGTAGTGCTCAATACGCGAAGGCTGGCGTTCGAACATACACCAACCATCAAGTGACAGGCGAGATTCACAAGCATTTCAATCTGCAAACCACTTCGCCTACATGGCCAACTTGTGCAACCTGCGCCAGTGGTTTTCTGCCTTCGAACATGCTGTGCCTGATGCGATGTACATCCGTTTCTCACTGGTATCTTGAACTTTGTACCAGTCTCAGATTGAGAAGTCGCCGATGGCACATGTCAAACATGAAAAGCGAGTGATGCATGCCATCCACATGTTTGGTTTCTCATGCAGTTGGCAGCTGGATCGGCATTGTCTGCCAGCATGAGTCGAGCCAAGACACTTACCGAGTATCTAGTTCTGTGGAAAACATCAAGGCATGTAATCACGGTGTGATGGCCATCATGCAAGAAGATGTTAGGAGCTGGTCATGACATGGCCTTTCTTGCGGATACCCTTGTTCAAGACATCTTTCCGCGGGTCTCAAATGCGCAAATGCGGGGGGACATCGCTGTCAAAGGCACGGGCACCCGCACACTGCGATTCCAGCTACCAAGGAACCATACATTGAATTCGTTCAATCTTAAGCCTCTTCGTGGTGTTCCCCCCTGACACCACGTGCCACACACGCACACAACAATGCAACCTGCCCATTATGACAACTCCCACAGACGCGCACGCACGCACGCGACTTACAAACTCCAACCCACACGCAGACGAGGTCAGTCTGAGTCCCACAGGCACAAGACACGTTGAACATTGGGACGAATCGGGACAAGTGTCCGGTCAGGTGCTGGATGGACAGCAGGGAGCGTGTGCATCCTGGGGCTCTGCGTATAGCAACTCAGCAGGCAGCGTATTGTGTTATATTTTGTTATATTGTTTGCTTAGGGCAAAATTTGCTTAGGCGATGTTTGTTAAACAAAGCCGCCTCGTTGGATGGTATTGTCGCTACCAGCTATTGTTCTGTGTTGTTGGACGGTGAAGTCCCACGTCTTTATGCTTTCTTCAGGCTAACATGGAAGCCGTCAGATTCCCTCTTCAACAGCAGGTCATCGCTTTGGGGTTGCCTTGGAGCTTCCATGCTAGCTAAATGAAATGCAGGAATGTTGCTTTCTGTTTGGTTGGATGTCTAAGCTTGCACTTGCTGGGAAAGGTTTGTTTTCCTCCAAACAACTCGACGTTGAACTCTTTGCGCAGGAGGCAACCAGGAACTAAGTGAAATTCCTCTTTTGCGTTGTATGCTTACTGCCTTCTAGTTGCCAATGTGGCTTGTAGTCGTGATTAGACTGGACGCAGCTGAGGCATGTTTAACCTGTACATTGGGCTCTTTGGCTGTTTATTGCCAGCGCTTTTCTACTGCGGGAAGAACAACCGGCTGTTGGCAGAGTTGGCTCACGACGAGTCTTTGACTAGCGGCTGAGGCGAAAACGGATGCGCGTGCTAACGAACGTGCGGGTTTTTGCTTGTGGGAGCCAAGCCCGCTTCAGATCATGCGCATATAGCTGTCATTTTTGTTCACCTGGGTTGTCACGTGCCGGCGCCTGCTTGTTTTTGTCAAAAATAACAACTCTCAAGTCATGCCCAGGCAGGCTCTTGTCTCTTCCGTCAGGCTCCAATTGTCGCCTGGCTTGTGCCCCCAAGCACTGACTGCCAACGAATTGAGATCTAGTGCGTTATACCGCTTTCCGGCGAAGGACTTGGTTTGCATGCTCAATGACCCATGGAGCTGAATGTTCCCAAAGGAAACCCCCAGTAGGGATGATTGGATGATAAGACCCCAGTTGACACCCGGTGGTGATCGATCGTCGAACCAACTGCCCAAGGAGCATAAGGACAAGGGGATCCTGCCCTGCCATGTGTGTGTGTGCGTGCGCCTGTCGCAGCGAGGTGAGGTACCCACGCTGTCCAAGAGGACAGGCGTAGGTACCCTCCCAACATGAAACTGGTGGGTTCCATATTAGGGTATGGGTCAAAATTAAACCACCCGGGGACCGCATGTTTGAGTCATAGTCTTTGGTTCCATTTGCCAGGGTTCCATTTTGGGTACGCATTTTTGACCCACAGCATCAATGAGGAAACTGACAGTTTGACACCCAGGCAACTTCAGCTCTGTGCAGCTTTCGGCCCAAGAGCTCGGGTGAAGTCTGCGAATGCTTAGCGATTGGGTTGAAGTCTCAGTGTCCTGGTTGAAATGGTGCAGCCAGACTTGTGTCTCAACACTGGGAACATTGGGGAACCCCTAAAATGGGTGGTTTTCCTGGTGACTTTGAATAAAAAGCCCACCCAAAAAAGGGTACCCTCAACATAAGGCACGCCCCATTTGAGTTATCGTTCCATGTACTTCTTGATCAGAGTCTAATGGTGCTGGAGTCGTGGCAAAGCTTTGGCTTTTCCGGTTAGTCCTTGTTTGCCCCAGACATGTAGTCCAGACCAGGTTGTTGCGCTGGACATTGTAGTCCGAGATCAATGGATCACATGCGTGATTCCAGCTACCGCTACAGGAACCAAGGAATTTGCACCCAAGAACTAAAACGAACTGGGAGAGATACATTGACAGGAACTGGGATATGGTTTGTTTCCCGCCATGGCGAGGGGTTTCCCATGGTAAAGAAAGCTGAGACAACTTTGCAGCTGCTTCCGTAGCTCGAGCCATGGGTGTCACCTTGCCGCCCATTGGCAAGCCACGTGTGGAGGCGCCCATGGTCCATGGTTGGGCCAGATATATGTGTGTGTGTGTTTGTTTTTTGAAGGTACCCTTCTAGGTCGACTCAACGGGAAAACACCGTGAAAGCACAATTTCGGGGCTGGTGTAATGTTCCGTTGGATCATACTGGGTCTGCCAGGCGCACGCCAGTGCCACTACCACGCTGCCCGGCGACACGGAGCCAGGCGCGTTGGCCCATCGCTTGCGCACCCTCGCGTGTGCGTTGGAAGGTGTTGAGGTTGTGTGTGTGTGTGTGTTGGCGCGTGTGTGGTTTCCTTTTTGCTGCATGCCTATTGTGTTTGTTTTGGCTGGTCTCCGCGGCGGCGTTTTGTCTTCAATGTATGTGCTTCCAGTTTTTGGCAGAGAGGGGATTCGTGTTTTATATTCTTCTTGTTTTTCTTCCGCAGACCCCCCAGCTTCTTTGTTCGCGCAACTTCTTCACTGTTCTTGGCATGCATTTTAGGTGTGATGTCTTTGTTGGTATCACGTTTAAAACCAGCTTCTTCAGGTGCACGAGGGTACTGTTCAATGAAGCGGCCATATTTAGACAACACCCAAATGGCAATGAGAAAGCTCGCAGGGGTGACTCTTATTGCCTTCACCCATCAGCTGGCAAGGAGCCTGACCGCTTCGGCCATGTTCCAATCAAAGATTTCTGTCAATCCTTGGCAAGAGGGCAAAACACGTTGCTTTCAACCTCACTGAACTGAGCATGACAAAATGCCCCAAGTTTTGACCACGGGGCACCCAGAAGGCCCCAAGTTTTGAAGCGGTCAGAAGGCCAAACACGCATCGACGATGGCACCCTGGGATTACACCTCTGGGGAATCACCCCTTTGGTAAGTTCCTCAGGGTGCAATCCCAGGATGCAATAGAAACGCCCTTAGATCTACGACGCCCCCGTTTTTGTTTTTTTTTTTCTTGCTGGATGCTCCGCGCCAGACTGGTGGCAGCGAGAGCCTGTTTGGATCGAAGACAGGCCCGGAGAGTTTGCGGATTGTTGCCGATGGCGATGGGGGAGGTGCTTCTCAAACACGAGGAACTGCAAGTGGTTGGTTTCCTTCCGGTTGCGCTTGAAACCAGGGCGTCTTCTTTTTGTGACATACTCAAGGAACCAGGTGCATGTCAAGGTGAGTGGCCATCTTGGGAATATGAGCTGAGTAGAATTAATCCGGAGAGGTTTCACGTTGGTTTTACATTGGCTGTCTTGTGAGTTCCCTCTGACTCAGAAGTTGAATCACATGCATAAGGTGTTGGAAGGCGCGGGTAGATTGTGCTGAGCTCACCATGAAGGTTCCGTGCTTTTCTTGGGGGCCAGTTGCTTGAGGTGTGTGTGTGTGTGTGTGTCTGCGTGCTTCGTTTGACTGCATTTCATTCCGAAAGGAAGTAAGGAAGCCTCATTTGTAAACTGAAATGGCTGAGACAAAAGCGCAACTGAACCCCATCGATTCCGCACAGTCACGTGCTGCTTCAGCTGGAGCTGGCCGGCGTCCCAGCCGTGTGAATTGGGCCTTTGAGGGATAGAACTTCAGCTGGAATGAAGAACTGCTGGGTTGCAAATGGGATGGCCACCACACAACCCCCCCTTTATTTAACGTTGTGCAATGCTCAACCTCATGCATTCATGTTGGCAACATTTTGGGAGTGCGGACAGAATATATCGAACACTCAAGGTCCAAAACCGAGTCATACACAGCGCCTGAAGGCCACCAAGCGGGAGCTGAATGTAGCCTTGAAATGCGCTGTGTGTGTGGTTTCTGGCCAGCACCTCCAGATGTCCTCGCCTACGGTACTTGGCTTTGGTTTGCTCACAGTGTGCTTGTGTGTGTGTGTGCATCTTTGTGTGGCTGCGTGGTTGGGTGCTTGTGTGTGTGTGATTTGTGGTTGTGTGGTCGTGTGTTTGTGTTGTTTGTGTGTTTGTGTCGTTGTGGCACGTTTGCTTGTATGTAGTTGTTGTTGTTTGTTTCTCCCATGCTTTTGTGTTTATGTGTTTCTGTGACTCTGTTTGTCTGCGTCTGTCTCTCTCTCTCTCTTGCTCTCTCTCCCTCTCTCTCTTTCTCTCTCTCTCTCACTCTCTCCCCCTCTCTCTCTCTCTGTTTGCCTCCCTCTTTCTGTGATGGAAGCGAGCCTTCTCTTGCATCCATCCTGCGCCAGAAAGCAGCAAGTTTGCTGCTGGGAGGAAGCTCTTGCATTCGTGTCAAGCCTCGTCTAGTTTAAAGCAGTACAAATGTTTTTTGGGCTTCAGAGGATACCTTTTTTGGCCTGGATGACAGCGATTGAGTTGGGCGTGATTCCGGTTGCCTTTCCCGAACGGCTTTCCAACTCCATCCCTCAGTTAGACAAACGTTTGCTCCAAGGCGAGAGTCGCTTTCCTCAAAGCACCTGTTTCATGCACCTCTTAGACTCCAGATATAGATTTTGTTTTGGCAACCCACAATTGCGGTCGTTATTTTGACGGAGGGTTATCAAAGCCAGTGACTGTTTTGTTTTTTTCCTTTGAATGTACCACGTGTGTGACTTTGGGAGCAATGGCGTCCTCCCACACTCCCACTCCCCCCCTCCCCTCAAGACAAAGCCTTCCCGAACCCCACCCAAGTGGTTAATGTCCATTTTTTCCGAAGGGTATGTGCATGGAGCCGGGCCTGGCTCGTTCCCGTCGGGGTTCAAGCTTTTAAAGGGTCCCTTGGCCGATGGGCTTCGCGGTGAAAGGGGTCGTACCTCAGCTACCAAGGCACCTTGGGACCCATGTTTGAGACGAGTTATTTGTGAGAAGGCCGAGCCGTGGTGAACGCAGGAAGTCAGAAGAAGCTATACTGCTAAATTTGGAGCGCAGAAACAAGCCTGATTTGTCTTGTGCGAGCACTTTGCTGGGTTTCATGTCTTTTGGTTTGGGGCACACCTTTTTGGGAACTGTGCTAGTTTGCAGGGGAGCCGGTGGTTTGTCCCCCCAGCCGGCAATGTTCGTCCAATGCGAAGGGATGGCGGGATATAACTGCTCAAGGACCTGTTCGATTTCCCGCTCAGTTGCCCTGCCTGAGTGTTTTTTTGGTTTTAGCAAGTTATCGGCAACGAACAAGTATCACCAAGGCTCCTTAAAAGATGCATTATGCCAAAATGAAACATGGCTTTTTCCACCAAAACAAAGAGACACCACCATTTACAAGTCAATGTTCAGGTGTATAATGTAAGGATCCCTGATCATGTTTGCAGACCCTTTGCACAAGTTTGGACAAAACAATCGGCAGTGATGCTGGATTTTGTGCCATTACTTGACACAGTCACCGACACAGTCCGATGACATTGCGATGGAGCTTACAGAAGCTGACCCAAGCATCGCCTCTTCCAGCAATCAAGAGGTTTTGGGTTAGCAGATTGTGTCAATGGAGAAGCCCAAGCAGAAGACCTTGGGAGAGAAAAAAACGCGTTGGCAGACCTTTTGGAGAAGACGAAGCAGTTGAAGCTCGAGATTCGGCAGTACAAGGGCAACCTCGCACAGCTTGCCAAGCCAAGCTCGCGTGAGGCGGCTCGCAAAGCCGAGGCAAAGGCGAAGCGTTTGTCAGACCAGGCTTTCTGCAAGGCGGCGCGTGAGCAAATGATTCCTTCGGAAATCCGCGCTATGAACCAAGTTCTCGACCTCACCCTCGCCAACAACGCAGTAACCGGCCGTGTCAGGGCGTTGGTGCTTCAGATGTGGGGACTCCTGAAGAGGACAGACGCGAA